GCATGGATCCCCATTAGGACCATCTACAGGAACTTCACCCAGACGGATCACATCCCAGACTCTCCTGTGCAGACCAGGTACTGGGGCTCTGCAAAGCACCCCAGGTGAATTCAATGTCAGGAAAGTCAGCAACTCTGCCCAGGGGGCCGGAACAGGGAGCAGCTAAACAATACCCGTGGAAAAATCCATTTTCCTTCGCTTTGTTCTCATCTGAAAAATGGTATGTGTGGAAGGAAGTTGGAATGTATACTAGTTGATTTCCTACTGTATTAGGATAAAAATAAAAAGTTGTAAAACATTTCAAGTAGAAATAAGAGGATACATAAGAAGCCCCTGCAACACCTGTATCACCACCACGAAGCTAGACAGAAATTAGAGTTTTTCCATACTTTAGTTCTCTGTCTTAGAAAGACAATAAGCAAAATCCCCACATCCTATTTCTTCATATTTCTTTCTTCTCTAGAACTATCCACTACCCTAAGATTACTGGTTACCCTGCACATAGGATTTGTCTAACCACATAACTGTTTATATTCAGATCCTTATAGTTCTTCTGTGGGTTTCAATGTACATAAATTGTATTATACCACATTTTGCACATACCACATTATTCAACTTTTTTTTTTATGAGATTTACCATGTGGAATGCATTTCACTAATCTTCAATTCTTTCATAGTATTTCATAGGAATAAACCATAGTCAATTGGTTTACCTTGTCTGTAGACAGTTGAGTTAATTATATTTTTATACAAATAAAGCCATAAATGTTAGTATGTGTCTCATCCCAGGTTTCTATGCTGCCCATGTGAAAGAGTCTTCAGGGGAGACACCGAGACATGGTTTTGTTGGATATGCACATTTTAACCTTACTATGCAATTCTAAACTTCTTGCTCTCCAAGGTGCTCATACCAATTTACTTTTTCTAGAAAAATTAACACACAGGCACGCACCTCATTCTCCATACCTTTATCAATACTTGGTACTATGAAAATTTTCACACTGCTGCCAATATAAAGGTTCTGGTGTGCTAACTAATAATTACAGTTAAATAATATTTTTCTAAGGTCCCTTCTGGCCATATAATTGTGATAATGACACTGATGCCAAGTCTTATCAAAAATAACAAAATAAAGGTCGTGGAGGGAGACAAGTTTACAACAGATTTACTTTTCCTCAAAAATTATCTTGCATGGCCAAAGCTGGCCCATGACCCATACATCAGGCCATAAAAGCGGAATGGGGACATGGCCCCAGTTCTGTATTTATTTTCTTGTGCTCATAATCCAATGTTACTTAAAAAGCAAACTGCCCACTATCCTAGCCAAAGCAAATATACTGGATTTTGCCAGGGAAAATGCCTGTGGAGGAATGAGTCAATTCATACAAAATTCAAAACTGTCTTTGGTCAGTGACATTTTCATGAAAATTTGTGGGTGGGTAAAAGTTTTGCAAAACTCCTTTTTGCTATTGGATTAAATTCATCCAGGAAAAATAAGCAAAGTGTAAGTGGCAGCCCGCACCGCCCCTAATTCCCTTCTGAACACTCCCTAACCTCCCAGCACAACTGCTTTCGATTGTGCAGGAAAACGGGCCAGGTGGTTCTGATCCCAAACAGAACCCCGGGCCCTGCTCGTGGGGCAGGCCATTTCTCAGCATCAACACTCATGGACCAAACTTCTCCTGTCAGTCAGAATGCACTTCAAAACCTCCCCGGGAAACACTACTGGCCACTGGCCACCCTCCAGCTTAATGGCAGCCACCTCCATAGGGTCAAAGCACTTGACACATTCTTTTGGAACCACCACTATGGGAGCCTCAAGGAACGGTTGTATACTTCCACGATTTGATACATTTTATGTTATCCTCTTAGGAACATAGAAATGGTCTTTTAAAAAGAGAAAGACGCAAACTCCCTGTCTTTAAGACTTTGTTCTGAATCGAAAACCAGGCACCTCATCATCTCAGAAAGACTGGTCAGAATTTGCCAAAGGTAAAGCTGAGCTAAAGGCAAGAAGGTAGAAACAGAATGCTGGGCACCTAGAAATGGCTTTATTAAAAGTTATGAGTGAATAGACGTGGTTGCTTTAAAACGTGACCTTGCTACATCTTGTTTCTGATTTGAGACCTGCCTCTCTGCCTACTGAGGCCTTGGCTTTCCCAAACTCTGCACAACTCTCTGGGGCCATCTCTTCAATGCAACCTGGACTTTAAGGACAGAAGTCGGCTGCTCTTTCCACAGAGGCAGTCAGAATGTCATCTGGTGAAGGGCAGGGTTGTGTGGATGAGAAAGGAACCCATCCTTTTCTTCCAGTAACAGAAGCAAATAATGAATTCAGAATCTTCCCCTGGCTGTGCCACTAAGAATCCAGAGTGATCTGTCCCCCAGGTTCCAGGTGAGTCTGCAGAGCCACGGTGAGAAATGATTGATAGAATGCATTCTCCCATGGAGCAGAGGGAACTTGGCTTGTGGGGAGGATTCCACAGCAGCCTCTTACAGTAAAGCAGGCCTTAGTCGTGACACACCCTCCTTTTACCATAACTTCCAGAAGATTTTTTTTGTGTTGCTTGAAGTCATGGTCACCAGACACATAGGGGTCACCATTCCCTCTCTTGGTTCAATAATCCCAGTAAGCGAAAATGATAACAAAGTCCAACAATCATACAGATAAGAGTAATTAATAGAATCAGATATACACTAAGTAAAAATGGACTGGGCCTTAGAATTTAAACTACCTCTAGGTTTGGTAGCCACCAAAAACAACCTCAATACCACCTCTCCAAAAGAAGAGCATGGTCATTTTACCTGGCATGGCTCTATCCATGTTGTCTGCTGGCCCACATGTCAAGCACATGACATGGAGCAACAAAACAGAAGATAGAAGGTTCATGATATGTAAGTTTATACAAAAATGGTATCTTCCCGTTAAAAACACACCCTCCCAACAGTGGAATTATACCACCAGTTACTCCTTAAAAAAAAACTTTTATTTGTTTAAATTTAGTTGCATCACAGCATGTGAGTGGTTTGTGATTCTAGTTTTGATATGCTATTGGATTAGTAGTGTGAGTTTTGCAAAGGTTCCACCTATTAATGAGAGGGCCGATTAGGAGAGCAAAATTGCCTCATCCGCCTGTCCTAAAGGGCCGAGTGAACAGCGGTGCAGGTCTGCACACATTCACCTCACAGCCATCCTTTCCCTCAACGCTATTTTTAATATTCACCGTGCTCTTTAGCAAAAGCCAACTCTGCAAAGCTGTACATCTTTGAAAACTCTGGGACCAGAGGTGGAAATGGGGAAATCCTTTTGCATAAAAATTAATGTTGCAATGCAAAAAAAGTATTTTTTTGATAATTCAAACTTTAATGTTTACTTCAGTAAAATCCAATCCAGTAATATTTTCAGCCAGGATTAGTCAGAACTAAAAGGTTGGACTGTTTTCCTTCGGAGACTGGATGTCTTTCCTGTTTGCAACAGGCTCCTGTGTTCCAAACAGAGTAAATGGAATTGCCTTCAATCGCTTGTCTCATTCTGGCATTTTTAACACAGAACCCTACTGACAGAGTACGGTTTGGCCTCCTGGAATGTAATTATTCTTTTCACTCATGGAACCTGGCATGCTCACAATGCATCAGCTTCAGGTTTTCCTTAAGAAAAATCACAACATGGGGTATAATGTAATGACAAGAAATGCAATTTCATTCCACCAAAAAGCCTTAAAACTCTTTCAAAAACACCTACTGCATGGTAAAAAGTGCTTCTCGTTCTTGCGTGCCTGCTATCACCTATATGGTATGCTTTTGCATGAATCAGAGTTTGGCCAATCTATAATCAAACAGAAACACAGTCCAGAGGCTTTATATCGCATACTACAGAAAGAGATGACTTTGGTTGGGAAGTCACAGTTCAAACAAGTTCTTTTCCAACTGGTTTATAGTCTTCACTCATCGCTGCTCTCTAGAACTCTCAATATTATGGAATACACAGACTTCTCAGTTCTAACTCTGAAGAACTATTCCTGTCCATCTAGACTAATAGAAAACATATGCTCTTCTTTTTTTGCAAAGATTCAGTGAGCCATCTCAGATTGTGCAAAGCTATCTCTGTGATCCCACGGGTGAAGTCCTGCTTGTAAGCCCTGAGGGTTTCTGGGAGGTGTGAAATTGTTGTGAAAGCATTTAGGAATCATATTATTCAAAACAGCCAATTTTGCCAAGACACAGAATCACAGTTCCGGGGTTGGTGCTGAGAAAAAGGGAGGCAGGACAGACATCAGACCCATGTCCTTCAACACAAAAGGCGCACACCCTTCTCAGCCCATGGTTCTTATCCTTTCCCACAAAATCATCTTTCCTCAAAATTAAGTGAGACCCCACGAGCCCCCGTTCCTGTGGTAGCCCCCGGTTTCCTTTCTGTAAGTCATTAATGAGTTTCACAACTCTGAAAGGTACAATGTGCTGGTGTGAGGGTGCATGCTAAAACAATTCCAGTAGTCAAGTTCCTAAGTGGAGAATTCCTTTCTTAAATATCAGACTCATTCCTCCCAAGTCTCACCTAAATTTTTGAAGGTTTATAAAAAAAAAACAACTGAGTATTTACTTGGGAAAAGCACAAAAGTTTGCTTGTGGCACTGCACACGGTCCCCTGCCCTTGAACACCCATGTAGCCAAGAGAACACTAAGTCTGTGTCCCATCCACATTGTCCCAGACTACAGTAAGGCATATATACCAGCCTCCGCTATCACAGTGGCATTGGGCTCGTACTAGAAGTGAGAGAAACCAGTGGCCACCAGTTATCAAAGAAACCTTCCCCTGGTGCCAGCTAGCTGAAGAGGCAAGCAATCTTATGGGGGCCATTACCCCACCACACAGGCAATTTCCACAAAAACAGAAATGGTCACCTGACTTCATGACTGTGTTTGGTAAAAATACACGCATGCATTGAAGCTGGGCCTCCAAGAAAGGTGGCGCAGGGCTTTGGAAACTCCAACTCACTCACCGTACACTTGTTGGGCTTCTCCCCAGAGTGGACCCTCATGTGGATCAGCAGTTTATAGCGGGCGTTGAAGGGCTTGTACCTTCTGGGGCAGCCAGTCCAGAAGCAGGTGAAGTCTTCCCCCTTGCGCTGGTCTATGTGGACCTTCTCGATGTGCCTCACCAGTTCCTCCTGCTGGTCATATAGGGCGCTGCAGTCTATCCAACGACAGCAGTGCTTGCCCCCTGAGTCCTCCATCTCCCCATCCTCATCCAGGCCAGCCTGGGCCAGGGCCAGTGGCTGCGTGTGAGGCAGGAGCTCTGGGTGATGAAGGTGTGGGTGGGCATGGTACGGGGGTGGGGGGCCCTGAGGCGGGGGAAGAGGAGGGAGAGGCGGCGCGGAGGGCAGGTCCAAGGAACTGCCTGGGAACTCCTCCAGGCGCTCCGTTTTGAGCATGTTGGCTGACTGGCCATCCTGGCCCGGTAGGCCCGGCTGCAGTACCATGTTGTTTACAGGTCCGGACTGCAGGCCACCGTGCTCCAGCTGCTGCATGCGCTCGTACTCCAGCGTGCCATCCTCGCCATAGCCTGGCAGCGCCTGTCCTCCACTGGCCACCAGCACGCCTTTCTGCCCACTGGATACTGCACAAGACTGGGGGATGCAGCTGCCGCGAACACCCAGGAAATGCCCATAGACCTCGGACTGTGGAGACATGTTGGCAGGGGAGGCTCTTGATCCGTTGATGTAGGCAACCAAGGATGTGGGCGAAGTACGGATGATAGTGTTGAAGTCAATCCCAATGCCATCGGACAGCGGGGACAAGGACAGCGCTCTCTTCTTGGAGCGGGTGGAGTGGGACCTGGTTGCTGAGTGCCGAGGACTAGGGTAAGGGGAGTGACTATTTTCCATGCCAAAAAGGTAGGGTGGTAAAGAGTTAGAGACACTACTGCTGGACCCTGGCGTGCCAGGGGGCAAGCTAAGGAGGTCCCCTAGGTCCATGCCATTCTGCGAGCCGTGGTTGGATGAAAGTGAAGGGAAAGCCCTGTAGCTCTGAGACCACTCTTGCTTCACACTCAAGGCCGATTGACTCTCGGTCAGACTCAAAGTCGTGGACACCAGAGACTCTTGCAAAATAAGGGACCTGGAGCAGCGGCCAAAGAGAAGGGAGAAAAAAAAAACATTTCAGTGAGCTGTGGATTGCTTAAGAGCTAAGAGAACACTGCGCCAACAATCCCTTAAGTATTTCCCCTTATTACATTCCTCACTGAACACAAGTTCTTAGACGCCGATAGAGGCCAAGGCTTTTAGTTCCAGGTAAATAATAGTTTACCAAGACAAACAATAAAAACTCATGCTTACTAGAATAATGAAAAAAGAGCTATTGTTATAAATAATTCTAGTACTTTAATGAGAATAAAGAGTCCTCACTTTATTTCCAAGTGTCTCTTTTTATATAGAATGGGAAAATTGTGGCTTAGGAAAAAGTTATAGATGCTTGTCTTGGTAAATCAAATGAGTATCTGTCAAGCACCTACTGAGTCTGTGTGCATCAAGCCATGGTAGGCTATCAGGTTATACAATTCTGAATGGTACTAGTCTCCAATTAAAATCTACTTGAGAAGGTAACATAATAAGCTCGTGGTGCCTTTTTTTTTTTTAAAGTAAATCTTCCAAGTTAAATATTTGTGCTAGAGGTTTACTAATAATTTTATAATTTAGTCTCACTGATCAAATTAGACATCTTTTAAAGGGCAATTTACAATGCCAGGTACTCATTCATTTCAAATGACCCTAGAAATTGATGAAATTTGTGAAAATGTAAAATACATGGGTGATAAAGAGCATACTTAGCATGCTGGAGGCACGGAATTCACTCTTTATCACATACACAAAAAAAACAGTCCTTAACAGAACAAAGTTATTATACATAGAGAAGTAACAAACTGAAAAGCTGCATTTGGAGTCATGCATCAGGCCATGTGGGGTTTAACCATACTTGTTAGATAGGTTTCCCATGAGCTCTTGTCCTTGGATCTGAGCAACATCAGGCCAAGAACAGGTCATTCACTTGCAGTGGTTCATTTTTATAACAATGCCTTCCCTGTCCTTACCATTTACAAAAAAAAAAATGCTAAACATGTCACAATTTATTGTTTGTATATCAAAGTGGTTCATAATGATAACTCTAGCCCATTGGAAATCCATTTTGTTTTCCAGGAACATTATCCCCTTAAAAACAATAAAAAAAAAAAAGAAAGAAAAGAAAAGCTATTATCCCTTGGACAGAACATTCATCCCCAAGAGGGTCAACATGTAGACACAGAGAAAAGGTACCAGATCCCAAATCAGACAGAGTAGAGAGCTGAGAATTATGGCTTAATTGAAATGTGTCTGCAACTGACTTTCTAGATTCTTTTATTTAAATAAATTAGTCACTAAAAATTTTTATGCAAAATATGTGACTTCCCTACATGAACCCACTTATTGTCTCTGGCTGTTAAATATCAACCTGCTGCAAAGGAAGGGGGAAGAAGCATCATTTCACCTGTCCCCTACCTTGCTTCACAAAAAGAAACCAGGCATACTGTTTCTGCCAAGTCGGGGATACTGTCAAGCAGACATCTCAGCTCTGGAAAAGCACAGTGTAAGGAGTTAACAGTGCCATCGACCTGAGGTTGCCATCGGTGCGGTAATGTTTACCAGTGACAAACACAGCAGGGACCTATGTCCAACTGCCCTTGACACAGATCTGTATCTTGCTTCCCATCCTTACATTTGGACTAAAGTCCTTCCGCAAGCTCCACAGTGGTCTCTGAGCCATTTGGGTTTTAATTCCCCGTGGACACTTCTCAATTATTTTCCAAGCACAGTTAGAGTGAGCACATGGCTCTTCCTGCAGAGCTCAGCAGAAGGCTCCTGGTGATGGGATGTCAAGAGCCTTTTGACCCTATCCCCCGATGAGAGTCAGGAATTACATTCACATACAAGCTGCATCAGTAGAAATGCTGTAGGAGACGTGGAAACAAGGACTCTGCTTTTCGCCAAGGTCAAGAAACTATGGGATGTCAGAATACTGACAGAGTTCTATGGCCAAATGGGTGCCTGTTCTCGGGAGGGAGCCATTTTGGAACATTTCAGACTTCTAAGCAGTGACTCACAGCCAGAGGAGCTCATTCAATTGTATGCACTTTGCTGATAAAACGGCGTTATTTGGCTCAATGGCAGCATCAAGAAACATGTTCATTTTTCCAATACTGAAAAGCAAATATCCTTTCTCTTAAATTATGCTGAACTTGGCTTAATTTATAGTCCAGCATATCCCTGTGCAGACATGCTGGGCTGCTTAACTTCCTCAGCATCTCAGTTTTCCAAGGCAGTTGTCAAGTCCCTTTCAGAAAGCAAATTCAATAGTCTACTTAAAAGCAAAGGCATGAACAGAGGACTAGCTCATGCCTCTCCCTCCCCGACACCTCAAATGCCCAATAAGAACAAAACTTTCAACAAATGGCACTCACTTCCTGTGTCTCTCAGATATACACTTCAGGAGATTTAATCATTCAAAGTCCTACCCCCATGAAATCTATCTCTGTGCTAAGAGTCCTCTATGCAAGGCAGCTCCACCATCTGCATCACACTTTGCAGCATCTCCGAGGGCTGTGCTCACAAATGTCAAGACCTTTCCATCGAAAGGATGATTTTTATCTCCCTGGTACTGCCGGAGTGTTAAATACAAAGTAAGTACTCAAACACCTGTTGATCGAGAGAGTGCATAAGAAAGAGCCCAGCTTGGTGAGACAAGCCTGGAACCCCACACTAGGACCCAGGGGACTGAAGCCAGAAGATCATGACCTCAACACCGACACAGACTACATAGCAAGATGCTACCTCAGTGAACAGAATCAAAACATAAAAACAATAACCACCATAGCTGAGGAACCATTACCTACAAAGCTTACAAAGCCTTTTTACCTACTACCTTACTAAATACGCAGTATGACATGAATTAACTAGACTCTTAAATTACTTTTATAAAATGAAAATAACTAAAAATCGGTGACAGCAAAGGAGTGTGGGAGGTCCTTAGTGAAGTGTGAATGAAGGTGAGTGAGTGGCACAGACCCAGCTGGTTCTCATTTCTCCACACTGTAGCCCCAGTGTGGTGGTCCACGATGCTCTGCTTGATGGAAAGACTTGGTTAAAAAAAAAAAAAAAAAAAAAAAAAGGCTTAGAATCACTCCAGCTAGGACTGCAGCACAAGTTATGTGTTTTTCTGCAACAGTATGCTCCACAAGTGTGAAGGCGGCCCAGGAATCGAGCCCGTGACCCCTGCTGCTCCACACACCAGGCCTGTGGAAGAGAAAGTGACAACAAACTCAGAAAGCTGTGTCACCACACTGAGAGCAATCTCCACTTCCATATGTTCCTCTGCTCCTAACGACATCATTTCTGGGGACTGGTTGATTTGGAACTGTACGTGAAAGGCAAGACAATAAATCTAAAACCAAATAAAAGCAAAGTGAAATTCTCAGAAGCCATTAGGAAAAATATGCTCTCGAGAAGCCACAGGAGCTATGATGACCAAGTTGAGCTGTTTTGTTATAAAGCTTAAAAAAAGTTTCAACTTAAAGGTCGTGTGGAATTCCTCAGACTGATGCTCATGAAGAAAAACACATGTACATATACAAAGTGTGCATATACCTAAATCTATATGTGTATAATATACAATATATGACATATATGTGTCATACACTGACAATCCTGGGAAAGAAGACCAGCCCTAGCCAGTCTGGCAGTTGTCCTCTATGTACCCCAGTAAATCTTCCAAAAGAGTGAGGACAGCTTATGAACGCACAACAGCTTTAGAAGATGTCAGAATGCACAGGGAGCCTAGAGTCCATCCTCAGTCCTTTTCTCGACCTTCGCTGAGCTTTGTGGACTTACTATACTGCAAACAAAAAAAGGGCAATAATACCAGTTTAGGATACGAAAACAAATGCCAAGTATTTGGATCTAGACTGACATCACTAAGCGATGGCTGGCCTCTGTGATGACAAGCTGCAAAACTGTCACTGAACCAACCAGGTGGGCTTTCTGGGTCTTGAAACCACCACCCCTCAAACCGGGATGATGCTTGCTCGGACTGTGACTATTCAACCACAATGCACGTGGACGCACTAGACAAGCTAGGCATCCACAAAACCCACACGGGCAGCATCCCATCTCCTTTACTGAGCAGCTCTGCTAGGCTGAGATACTGAACAACTGTATGAAGAGGTGGTTCGGCACCCCTACACCTTGTCATTTAGGGGACATGTGTGCAATGGCCCTTACAGCAAGCAGGGTATGGACGAGACCTAAGTTGACAGCGGCTCCTGACTCTTCAACCGAGTAGAGTATGTGTTTAGCACTGGGGTGGGCTGATGGGAAATGACTGGGAAGTTCATCACAGCAAATACACAGCACAGAGGAAGGGGTCCCATCCTTGGAATAAACAGAGCACAAGCTAAAGGCGGAGCGTGTCCCCTCAGAGGAAGGCCCCCAGAAGAAAATTACATTCAAATCAAGTAAAAGAAAAAAAGAAGAAAGAAATGCAGCTGGCAAATCTCTGGAAACTGCTCAACATTGTCAATAATGAAAAAATATCAATTAAGGTAATTACATAATTACTATCTCAAACTAACAAAATGTATAGATAAAACTAAATACATGGTAACTTCTGAGACCACTGTCAGCTCACATATGGGTTGGTCTTCTCTGCAGTGCAACATGAAGATGCCTATTAAGAGCATCAAAGGTGCTACTAATAGCCATTTAGACCAACAAATCTTAACTCCTGAGAATTTATTCTAATCACTATAGAGACATGAAACAGAAGATTTGTAGGTTAATCCAATAAAGTATTATTGGTAATACTAAAGTAAAAGACAGAGCTCCAGTGCAAGTTCTTAGGGGAGGAAAACATGCATTACTCCTACCCTGTGGTGAAGCCTGGGAACCACAATGATGGGCACAGCAAAAGAGTTCCCTAAAGGTACAGTAGTGGCACTTGCATCTCGGTGGTAACCAACAGCTATTTAACTGGACTGAAGTCCCTGGAGGGAAACCGTAACTGGTACTGTAAACATAGCCAAGAGCGCATGCCTAGTGAGGTCACAGACTTAGAGGAGAGCCTAATAAGGCCACTTTCCTAAACCAGTGTGATTCCTAACTTCATTCTAAACACCTATCCTTATACTCACAGGTATGCGCATCTTTCACGCCTCATCAAGGACGCTTCATTTCACAGCAGATGGAGACCATTATAGAACACAACTAGTCTAAATGAAGAAAACAACCTACTACAGGGTGTCCAGTTGCCGTTGACACATCTAGAACTCAACTCCTATACCCTCAAGGAAGAGGAGATGGAAGACGGCAATAATCAGAAACACTGTGTCTTCTAGATACGGAGGGAGGCCACACTCATAAAATAACATGGCTGCTTAAACAAGACCTGAACTATAATCATCCCAGTTGACAGGCCAAGATGGATGGGGGAGATTTCACAGGGCTGCCACCCTAAATGAAGAGCTACAGGCAATTAAAGGCTGCTAAGAGAGGGAGAATTAGTCTCTCCCAGGGACAGACTCCCTGAATCGTTACCCAATGCCAAGAGGTCAGACCTAAAGAATACTTATAAAAGCAACACTAAAGGGACTCAGCAGGTTGCATTTATTATTTATTTGCATATATGTATGCAACAATAATAATTAAAGAATAAGAAGTCATGAATTTGAACGAGAGGAGTTGGAGGGCGGACAGGGGAGGAAGGAAATGATATAATTATATTTTGATTTTTAAAAAATCATAAAAAAGAACTAAAGACCTAGTAATGAAGAACTGGTAAGAATTCATTTTATTTCTGTCCTTTCTTTGTAAAATAGCATTTGGGGTGGGATGAAACCATGAGGCTAAAGAAGATGTCTCAGAAAAGAGCTTAAGCTATATTTATATTGGGAAAAGTTATAAAACTGTGTCTATTATATGGTCAACTTGATGGCCAGGAAAGCCAGTGCCTGTAGGGCATGTGTTCACACGTATTTGAAGGGACTTTATCAAATTTCCACTCACGGTATCTCAGGGTGATGGGACTCAGGGTGATCACATTTACTGCCTAATGCTTTTGTATAGTTTCCCATTTTCTACAGTGCACAGCAATTATACAACCGCAGGGCAAACAGTCAACTCTGCAGCTTTTCAAAGGCCAAGCTTCCCTCAGACCGAATGGTTCATGGCCTCTCTGGCCCCGTCTACCTACAGAAGACCCTGATGTATGAAGTGCTCAGCTGGTTCACTCGCCAGCTTCTCTTGAGTGCTAGATTGGAAAATGCCTTCAGGTTGCGCTGTTGCCCCTCAAGCTCATTCACCTGATGGAACACACAAACCAACGTAACAACCATATACAGCACGCAACCTTTCCAAACTGCCGTAAGTGGGTTCCATCCTTCACGTCACCAAGCCATTTCTCAAATCCCATTTCTTTGCCCATCTGGGGGAAAAAATTCCCAGCGAAGGGCTCACAGAATACATACTTAAAACACTTGTCAGTGCATCGTCAAGATGTTGTCTTTTAAGGATATGATATTATGCTAAGGAACCCGAAATGCCAGGAAACACTGAGATAATGACCCCTCTGGCCGCACCATGAAAGGGACTGTGTAAGGCACCTGGCTTGAGCGGCCTGAGTTCTGCCTACCATCAATTTCTCCACTAATTATGCCTGCCTTCCAGGCATGGGAGGGACTTGCCACAGACAGGAAGCTGAAGGTTTCCAGTGACACCCACCAATAAGCAGAGTTAATTTTACATGCAGCACTCAGCGAGGCTGAGGAGTCCCTTGAGGCATAATCATCAATGGGAAAAGTGACAGCGGCTTCCCATCACTAAAGTCCCAGGTAGAAAACAAGCTTTCACCTTAAAAAAAAAAAAAAAAAAAAAAAAAAAAAAAAAAAAAAAAAAAAAAAAAGGCATAAATAAGCAATCTGGGAACCATGATTGCAGAGTCTCAACTAGAGGCTGGAAGGAGGCCTGGATAGAAGAGCTGAAAATATGAACAGAAGAAAGGGGAAAGGAGACAGTCTTAGGACCACAAGGCACCCTAGTAGGATATAACCTGCACTGAAGAATGCAGAGGGCAACCCCTTTGCAAGATCCATCACCCCAGAACTGATACTCACGGGCAACAATTCTACACTGTGTTTTTACCAAGAAAGTAACAACCTCTAAAAGATGAAATAGTAATCTTCAAAAGAAATAGACCTTAAACACTATACCATAGCTCACTTTTACTTACACACACACACATCGACCCTGAGGAAGATAAATTTTGTCTAGTGGGGAGTGGTTTCTTTTCAGTCTAACTCTGCTGAATGAAAAGGCAGTTACACAGCCACCTAATCAAATATTTAAGGAAAAGCTTACATAACTATGAAATTATGTCTTCCCAAACAAATTATAATTCATGGTTTCTATCTTTATTCTCTCTACGATTTCCCGAAACCATTGCATTATGCACACAGTGGGTACTTAATACATGTGTGAGTAGATGAGTGGGCAGGTGGGTTCACAGACCAACAGCTTGTAAATCAGCTCTGAGACACTGCCATGCACATCCTGAAAGCCTGGCAGATGTGCAGAGCATCACATTTGGCCACAATGTGACTTGCTTTGTAAGGAAGTAACAACTGTACAAACTAAGCTTCCGTTCCTGAGACTCTTAAATCTCACAGGACCAGACAACAGCTATGACGCCATCCGTCCTGATTAAAAGATGAAGCATGGCACACACTCACTTTTTAGACACATTCTCCTCCAAAGCTAAGATTGAGCGAGCTCCTTCTGTAGGAATGAGTGACTGAGTGAGTGCGTGAGTGAGCACATTTGTGTTCAGGAAGACGGGGGACAACACTCGTGGGTTATGATCACACCATAAGGAGAGGGGAGGAGAAAAAAAAACATAAGTTGAGACCTGGAATCTGAAGGAGGTCTATTCAGGTTGGCTGCATTCACTGCCCTCGGTAAGCTAGGACTGATCTGCTTGCGTGCTGTGGAGACCTGGCTTGCTGGAGGTGAAATGGGTCCCAGTCGCTGAACCATCATGGGACTGCTGGTGAGCACTAGATTGTTGCAGCTGCCTTTTCCAATGGACTTGCACTGAGGCCCAAAGCCAAGAGCCCCTAAAAACAAATGAATGAGGTTAGCTTTCATGTCCCTTACATCAGCAATCAGTACATACACACAAGTGCACATTTCTATCAGGGCTCATCTTCAGAGGCAGTCCTTGGACCTCCTCTTTTTAGTATATTTTCTTCACACAGGGTCTCATGTAGCCTAGGCTGCCCTCCAACTTACTATGTAGTCAAAGATAGCCTTGTGTTATTCCTGCCTCCACCTTCCAAGTACTGGTGTTGCAAGAGTATCTCCTTATTTGGTTTTTTGTTTGTTTGTTTGTTTGTTTGCTTTTCAAGACAGAATTTCTCTGTTTACTCCTTGCTGTCCTGGAACTCACTTTGTAGACTAGGCTGGCCTTGAACTCATAGATACGCCCACCTGTGCCTCCCAAGTGCTGGAGTTAAGGGCATGGACTACCACTTCCCAGCACAAGAGTATCTCTTTAATACTGATTACACCAAAAAGCATGATTCCAATGCAAAATCTGTAATGCTATAGCAGAAAGCTTTTCATAATCACCCCTCACACCAAATGCGATTAAATTCCACTGTATAGAAGTGAGAATCATCTGTTGAAATTGATGCCAAAAGTTATAATTTATAATGTCTTTAATGAAAGGGTGAAGGTGATTAGTAGATGAAATTATCTTTATCAAGTCAATTCCTTCCTAGAGTACCTAATATTTTAAATCACAGACCAAATAAAGTCAATACTGCTGGGGGAGGGGCAAACAATTAACTGATTTGATTGCAAATCTGTACTTCCTGAAAGCCTCTTTAAAAGAGAATTGTAGTCAAGCTATATCCCTTGGGTTTAACTTTGGGTTTCCCCTCTTCATCCCAATTCACTGCTATTAGACATAAAACATTTTATTTCATTTCATTTATTACAATTCAAGATGGGAAATCCATAAAACACTCACTTGGAAAGGTAAATGAATTTAACAACATTTTTTGATTTCATTACTTACAACATTCCAATGTAAAAAAAAAAAAAAGTGTGGTACATATCCAAAGGAGAAAGAAAAAAAAAGGCAAAGAAACCCACAAGAATCTGTGTCGTTAAAGAGAAAGCAGAGAAGGACGGGCTAACATTGCCATGACTCATCAGTTTAAAATAATAGGAAAGGCTGAGTCATTCTAGACATTTCTTCACATGCTTGTACTTTTTCAAGCGTATCTGCCGGCTTCCAGGTTGAGGCTCAATGGCTTATACTCTATTCCCAATTCTAACAAATAAAAATAAATTCCTCCCTAGATTCTCTAACTTTGTCATTGCACTATTTGGGACCAAAGTATGTAGAAGTTGCCACTGTCACTTTATTTAGCTCTAGAGAGCAAAATTTCATCTTTTTGTTTTTCCCCAAATCAAACCAAACAGCCAAGAGCTCTTTTGGCGTCAATTTCAGTTACATTTCCCTCTAAGAGCCCCTTGAGACAATGTAGATTTGGAAGCTATCACCGTATCCCCATAAATAAAGCCACACCTCAGCTCTGCTGGTGGGGTCACAGCGGCTGGGGGCAGCAGCCCTGCTCCCCATCTGCGCTCAAAACCAGGTGCACATGGCCTGCCTACAGCCACACAGGGAGTTAGTATCTACGAAAACTCTACTGCTCCGTGTAGCTCCACGGCACCCACGTGCTTTAGTTTGGGCTCTGAACCCTCCCTTGAACATTTTCCAAGATCACTAACTCCTAAAAGAAATTTCTCAGATCTCCAAGATCACTGACTCCTAAAAGAAGTTTCTCAGATCTTTTTTCAGATGTACAAGTTCACCTCCCTCTTCCTCCTGTAGCAGATTTCTGATCCATTATCTTGTGTCTTCCAAGACCAGTTGGAGCTATTACATTTTTATGACTCATATGGCATTGGACCATTAGGGTTTTGTCTTCATATGAAGAGTGGTAGGTATGTATTTTTATGTAACATTCATAACCTGAGTATCTCTGAAAATTCTTAATCCTGTATATTTGCATATGCTCTCTTTTTGCCTTGGAAAAGACGATGTAGTGGTACATAGCCTAACTCAGGCTATAATAACTGAGTTATCTTCTCAATATCCTCACCTATTTCTATTAAAAGCAACATCAGATGTCAAGCATTCAGTCAAATAGAATGTCATATACTCTCATATAATAAATTGCCACTTTATTCATCCTTAATAAAACTATTAACATCTATCTGCCTCTAAAACAAATACATTAATCACTCTATCAGTACACAGAAGAAATACAACTCAGTAACAAAGCATATTAATAACTATTTGTCAAATCCTGTGTGTATATACATCTATATTAAAAGCATAAACAACAAATTATATTGGTTATAATATTGAATATATTTATATAAAAATATATAATATAGACAGTGTTATGTAGTAAAATCATGAAGAGCCAACTAAATTTGTATGCAGTATCATTACTTCAGAGATGGGATGAACACACAGCTACCTTAGAATTAGCAATTGCCAAATGGGATGACTGCAGCTGTTACTCGAACCCTTATTCACAGCTGTGTCTGTAACGTGGGTATCTAGTGAGCACCTCTGCATCTTCAGGGTTTCAACCCAAAGGTCACAGTGCCCCCCTTCCATCCTCACTGTCATCAGGGCAGATCTGAGTGATTCGGCCTTTCAAACGTCAGGGATTGAACCCATTACATCCCCACTAGCCTCTCGTTTCTGTGCTTCAATTTTCAAACTGAAGCCCTTGTTTAACGTGTACCTGCTTCCTTAGAACCCAGCCTATTAGAAAGCTGTGAGTGAACACGTGAAAATTAAAAATGGTTACAGTGAGTATTAAATATTACCCAACTAATTTCACAGAAGCCCTCCTGTCTTTTATGAAACACAGGACCACTTAAAAACAAAATCCAAACTGAGTCGATCCTTCGATGCTTCTCCACAGTGTAGCTAGCCTAGCTGGATGACAGAGGAAGCAGGTGAGAGCAGGAACTGTCCATCAGTTCTCCTGGTCCAGAACCCTCCAGCCTGGACTCTCTGTAATAAAGACGCCTCAGTCCTTCTCTGCCCAGCAACCCATCACTGTGCACTATCCTACCCCCTTACTCCAAACATATGGACCAACTTAAACAGCCTCTAACCACACGCAAGTGACAGCCTGTGAAAACAGTGAGTTTCTCAGAAACGTGCAGTATGGTGTGCAGCAATGAGAACATTCCAGAAAACGGCACCATCTATCTCACAGAGGGAAGCAAACAAAGAGTTGTACCAAGAGCCACTATGAACAAAGCATTGAGAGGCTAATTCTTTTTCAGAACACCAGACATAAGGATCAGCTGCAAGCTACTCAGGAGGAATGTGGACTCTGTGGGCAGCCTGCCTGAAATCAGGCTCTTTGTGTGACCCAGGCAAATTACTGAGGATTTGTAGTCAGCATTTCTATCTTACCATCTACCAAACAGGAAGAGAAGCGGATGCCGCCTCATAACATGGCTTTGCATCTAGTATTAACAGCACATATAAAGGACTCGGCATCATAGCAGATCCTATGGATGTCAGCAGCTACTGTCACTGATGGTACTGTTTCATGCCTGCCTTTGCTTTTCTGTTCCGCTTTATTAAAGAAGAAAAGTCCTTCATCATTCCTTGCATAAAACAAGATAGTAAATGATGTTGTTTAATTCTCTGCCCATTTCCAATGTTCTTTCTGTTTTGAGCCGAGAGCCAATTTTTTTTTAAGCCAGGTGTCATCACAGATAGAAGTTTGCAACTGGCCAAGTTTGAATGTTCCCTGGCTTGTTGCTCCATAAAAACAAACCATACAGCTTTTCTGACTACCAGATGTGCCAACGACTTGGGCACTAGTTCTCTTTTTGAAATATCGCTTATTTTTAGAGACAACATGGTGTGTGTTTAAAAATGTGTTTACTGCTCAAATAAAGAGCTGAGGGGCTGGTGTTCTGAGTACCACATAGGTTCTAGCCAAGATCACCCTGTGCTGGTGGGAAGCCCAAAACATTTTGTATCTCGGAGTTTCTAAACTGAGTGGCCGCTTTAGAAGGGCCTTGATTTTCACAAATGTCTTCATTCGTTGAAAGGCTCTTCTCCAAAAGCAAGGTTAATTAGGTTGTACTTATCATAAGTAGGTCCCATCTCTCCTAACTTTGGCTTATATCTACTCACTGGTTCTCTAAACTTCACATGGATACAAAGGGTAACAAAAATGTAACACAGATGGCAGAGCAGGGATGATGTAATCAAAGCTTTGCTGCTCTTATTCGCTAGTCAACTGGCACTTAGAGAATGCCAACCAGAGTCCAGGCAGCCCATGGAGCCAGCGGTGAAGGACGGACTAAGTCCCCTCTAAGGCCACTGTCTGGTTTTTATAAAAGGTAATTCCTGCCTCTAGGTGGATCCCATTTATCAGGTCACAAATGACTACAGAAGATCAACTTCTAAGAAGTTCAGTGCTACTGACACACACGGAGTTTCCAAGGCAAAATTATTAAAATTATTAAAATAGGTTCAAGTCCTGCCCCTGCTCTCACTGGCTATGCGGCAATACGCAGAGTGCTTGAGATCTCTCCACCCTAGTATCTTCTTCTAACATAGGGACGGTCAGGTCACTTAACGCATGGGATTGCTTTAATGACAACTGGTTAATATTAATATACACGCTTCTAAACATCTGGGTTCTCTATGCAACATTACAACCTAAAAAGATTGTAGAAATATGAAAATAATCTCCAATTTCACCTAAGGTCATTTCTTCATCTAACACACAAACTCAAGAGTTTGCTCATGTCAGTTCTGGAGCCATTATGAATAAGTCATAGATTTCATATTTTTAACCCCTAAATGTATAGCTACAATATAATTGTAAAAATTTAAAGCATCCAACAAGGCTATACTACTAGTAAAGAAAACACTATGCTCACATATTAGCAATAATACATGTAATGATACATGTAGAAGAATTGCTTTCTAATCCGGGATCATGGCGTATAGAGGAAAGTTTTAATCCACAGTGGTCTCCAAGAATAG